ATGATAACGCGTACTACGTCACAAGCCACGTCACTTATCGTCAAGTGCATCGTCTTTATGCGATGTTAGTCTCCATATATTTAGCGAAAAATTCAATAAAATATTGTATTTTACGTTGTATCGCTTGATCAATAGAGTAGAGAATCCGAAGTTTATTATATTAATATAATTAAATTAATTTAATAATTCTATGATTTGAAGTATTATTTATTTTAAAAGAAACATAATGGAACTGTTGCATGTTGTAAACATACCGATTATGGAATAGTACATTGGAGGATAATATAAATAAATCACTCGGTTAATTGCTTGATATTTTATCAAGTAATTTATATAAAATAGAAAAATGACATTTAAACAATTTATATCAATTAAATAATATTCAGTAACGGGAAAGTAACTTACGATAGTTAAGTAATCGCCATTCTCATCGTTCGTGTTGTCCTCGAAGGGTGTTTTTTCATTCTTTTCAGCCACAATTTCAAACGCATCCGTCTTATCTGAAACAATCGCATCGAATATTCAATTCGATTATAATCGAAACTCGAAACTTAAACGGATATTCTTTTGAACAATCAAAAATTCTTAGCAACAAGTAGTTGCTAAGCATAACTATAACGTCGTAATTGAAGATCTATCGTCACTAAAGCCACATGTAATAAAACTGATACTCGCTATTCATGTATATTGATTTATGTATGTACTTGTATCGGACATTTTCCTAACCACGCTTGATCTCTCAATTAACGTATTTTAGTTGTTAATGCCTCAATAATTATGATAACGAAGCTTGTTAAAGGTACATTCACCTATTATAGTATATAGGCGTACTTTATGGGATTTAAGAGACACAGTAGCATTTATTGCAATTAAAAGTCAATTGAATTTAATTGAGAAGGTAGATTAATCGTTGCTCCAATTTTTTGAGAGATTGTTCTACTTACAGGATGTACTTATTACAAAATAATTACGTAATGCGTGCAGTATTTAATCAAAATGGAGAGTTTAAAATATTGGATACGATCATTTACGCACCAAATAAATAACCTGTAAATAATTCATCCTCCAAGCTGTCTTCGTCTTCGCTTGGGAAGAAATACTCATTCGGCGGCGATGCCATGAATTATGTTTTCGGCCTTGCGATCATTGAGTTAAGCAGAGCTACGTGATTTCGTACTGTTTGAAATTATATTTCTTTGCGTCTGCTTTCATTACACTGACAGTGTTATATTATTACATATTATTACCTACATTAAACATTTGTCAAAGAATTTCTTTTAAAAAGTTCACTGAAATTCGCAATAATAAAATAAATTTTTACATTTTCAGAGCTGAAATTAATTTTTTAATTATTTAATTTTTAATATTTGTTATTAATTAAGAGAATATTTTAATTATATTGTTATTAGAAACAGTATATTAATTTTTAATAATAAATTAAAATTATATATAGCATTAATATACAACAAATTATTTCTCACATAGGAATTGATATTTTAGTTTTAAACATTTGTATTTTTGTTTATCAACGCATTATACGTATTTTTCTTCGTTTATCATAAAAAAATCGTCTTATGAATAAAAATATAATAAAATTTGTTATTCTCGGATATATGAATATGTAGAAAAATGTTAAATTTATTTAATTTACATATTTATAAAAAAAAATAAATTTGTTTTCGCAATTTATAAATAGTACAAAAGGATTAACTGTTTAAAATATAAATGCAAATATATTGTACGTTAATTCCAAGATATTATAAACGCATTTAAATTAAAATATGAAAAATTCAGAAATTATTTATTATACTTCAAATTAACTAATGACAGAATTTTAATTAATGCAAATAATCAAAATATTATCAATTATTTCAATTTTTGAAATGCTAAGTCAGTTCCTTAGATTTAGATAAGTTATTCAATAAATTATTATTTTCGTTCCAAAAATCAAGATTATTTAAAAATAATCGCACAATTTTTTAATAGTGAATTATTTAAAAAATTTTTTGTTAAAAGTAATACAAAAATTGTATCAAACATATCCATTTTTATGATAAAATTAAAACTGTTTTTATTAGCTCAATCTCTTCAGAATTGTGTTAATTTTTCACAGCAAACTATTATCAAATAACAGTTATCAAAAATTTCACGTTTTAAAAAATCTTTAACCGCATTTATGTTAATTAAAAGAATTAATACATTTTTTTAACATTAATTTGTCTCATCACACCACATTATTTAAATATGTTTAAAAATGTTTGAAAGTTAATGAAAATTCGCTCATACATAACACATGTACTCGAAACAATTAGTTTCATGAGATTCCACAATTAACAACACTGAAGTACAATTTGGTTGCGGGCATTAAAATCGCGAGCGGATTAAAATTGCGACGATAAAAATCGGCATACATGTGTGCCGAACGATGCGTCGTTTGCGGCCCAAAGACACCGACTGACCGAGAGTACCGAATCGACCAAGTTAAAATTCTACTTGAGAGTGACTGGCCCCAGAAGAGCAACGCGATAGCGTCGTCGAGGAGATCAGAGATACTGCAGGTCCATTTAACGCGTACACAGACAGAAATATGCATCGCGTAAAATTGAGTTTCAGAAAAAGTAGAACAAGATTTTCCGATTTAAATGATTTTAGAAATAAAACGTCACTCATAAAAGAAGAATCATCATTATTATGCATAAAATACTAAACATACATAGGCGATTAATAAAAATTGAACATTCTTTCATGTTAAATCCACAAAAAATCACTGAATTATTTTAAAAATATGCATATAAATATAGCTATAGTCACACGCAATTAAATTTAAAAAAATTAAATGTTGATTTGACTAGATAAAAAAATGTATGTGCACTAATATGTAAATTGATATATGCTCTACTGTATTAACATAATTCTACTAAATATTAAAATAATAATCATTGTTTCAGCCAGAACGAAAATGTTGTCATAGACATTTAAATGAATTCATTGTTAATCTTTCATCTGATAAGATAATTCAAACTACTTGTACTTTGCTTACGTATCCACAAGAGTGCAAAAACATAGATATTATCGATTAGCTAAACGATTTACATAGGAGTCATGTTTACTGATTTCATGCGAACATTAGTGAAATTAATCTAATTAATTAATTAGAGATAGAGAGAAAGAGAGAGAGAGAGAAAATATGCGTATGTAATCATCAATGCTGATAACATATAAAAATTGTTTACAAGTTTAGATTACATAAAATGTAATCAAATAATGTCTTCTACTGTTTTATATAGATAGCTTTATATAACAATTAATCTAATAATTAACTAACGTTGCTCTACTTTTTGATCGTCCTCTTCGGTAAAATTATGAGACTTGTATGTGTCGAACGCGAGATACAGACTGTCTTCGTCCCTGTCGGGCTCTGTTGTATCTGTAAATAATACCTACATGTAAATATTTATCGCTAGTAAGCTAAATAAACTAATGTTTTAAAACACTTAGGCCGGTATTCATAATCGGATCTTATATAGTCTTAAGTATAGTCTTAAGATGTCATGAACCAATTAGAAAGCCGTAGTATCTTAAGACATTACTTAAGACAATCTTAAAATAAGAATGAAATGAACCTCCCTTAAGTTTTCTATGAAATCAAATAAAGTACCTGACATACATTTACTACATATTCAGATGATAGAAATATTGTACAACGTATCTGATTTAAATACATAATTAAAACGAACGTGGTTATATATTTAAAACGTATAAAAATTTTTTTTATACGTGTCTGATTTGACTTATGATATTGACATTCGAATTGAATGTATATGTATATATTTGTGCTTATGTGGCTATGGAATATTTATAACAAATCTCATTGCATCACAACAATAGTATTAAAAAAAAAAATGTCATTTATATAATTTCTGCAAAACATGCATGTTCACGACATAGCTACAGCGATTTCAAATAATACTTAATAAACCTCAATTTCTTCTCATAAAAGTTATAAAAAAATGATAGCCGTTATTTATAGATAAGTATGTCCTATTAAATATCTAATGATAAAAGCAATCTAAAAATATAGTAATCATATAGATAGTTTTCACAATCATAAAATATTTAAAAAGGCATATTTAAATAGAAATTCTAATGCATATTGTTATAAGTTTAGAAAAAAAATGAGGCGAAGAAGAAATTTATTGAAGAATTAAACAAAACAATTATTGTTGAAAAATTAGTGAATGGATTACTAAAAAATAATCAATTCATTTAAAGAATTACAGATATAAGTGTAGAATTGGTACAAGTGATAGAATTATAAAAGTCCTCTTGAAAGCGTTGGAGAATTAACCTTCATCCTAGAATCAATCCTTGAGAACGAAATATTATACGGCCGCGATTAGCATGACATTGCATTGCGCAGACTCCTAAATCGAAAAACTAGAAACTTTGCTACAAGTTGCTCCCTTTCGTACATCTGATTAATTCATGTCTCGAACGATGACTCCAGTCGACACACGCACGGCGTGGTCGGTCGTAGACTAGGTCAAGGAGAATGACTGTTACCTGAAGTCCACCTTCTCTTTAATGAAAGGCATCCATCAGATGGACGCATGGTAATGCGATTTCCATTGATTATTTAACTTTTGTTAACGTCAAACCATTACGATCTTTATGATTAGAAAGTCGGAAGAAAAAATAAAAATTTATTTGAACAATAAAATCCCATTTGGCCGTAAAAATGTCAAAATAGTAGTTTTCTTCAATTATAATGGAACTTTTTATTATTGTGTAATGTATGATGTATTATGCTACACTCAGTTCGTAAAAGTTGAAATAATAATTAACGTATATATATATATATATATCTTTTAACCAAAAGATAGTTTTAATATAAATGCTCTAAGATATGAAAAATATTATGTTAAGAAACAATGAATAAGAAATGAAATAGATATAAATAAATAGCTATTTTCTATGACAGTTACAAATTTATGTTTTATCAGTTGAAAGTATTTAATAATATGAATTAAATTGTAAGTAATTATATCATTTATGTGATGCAAATTCCTTTTTATCATAATTATTACGTGAATATAATGCATATTTATGTGTAATTGACATAATTATAAGAATATTAACGATAATGTAGATTTTAGGATATAAAAAGCACTTACATTGGAAATTCTAAAAGCTTTCTTTTGCTATCAATTAAAGCGTCAAAATATGTATATCTGAGATATAGATTAAATTAATGCAATACAGAAATAGTCATTTAAAAAGTAAATTTTGTAGGAGTGTAATGTTGCTTTAAGCAACCGTAAACAGGTTATACAACACAAAGAATGTAATTATTTAGAAGTCGACCTTCGAGAGAAGATTACTATGCTTCGATGTTTGAAATTCCAATCATATATTATATGTCTCCAAGAGCCAAATACGTTCAAACTTGATTACATTTTGCAATCGAAAGGAAGCACTTAAGTTTCGCATCAAAAAGATTTAGTTGGAGATGGATACGTTGTTCATAAATTTTTATTTTATAGTACGAATCATTAAAAAATAATCAAATGCGGATTGCGATACATTATATTTATATCTCTATATTATTTATTGATCGCAAAATTATTAAATAATCGATTAATCTAAAATATAATTTTTCAGTGTATTCTGTCATTACGTAGAAAATCATATAGTAAAACATTTTTTTTTTAATTTTCAGTTGCATGAAGTGTGAAGTAAATTATGAATTGTATCTATCTTCATAATAAATTTCCAAAAATTATGTAATAGCTTTGCATTGTTATATAAATCATAATGTAAATGTCTGTCCAACTGTCTACATCTTTTATAAATTCTGATTTCCAAATTTAAGCTTACACGAACATGGAACAATTTATGTCCTGATAAAATTGGAAACGATTGAAACAAAAATATGTTAGAAGAAAAAAGTAACGTACCGCTTAAAACGATACTAGAACTGCTAGTTTCTGACGATATACTCTTCTCCTGCTCGACTTTGTCTTTCATGCACTTCGGTATACTAATCTTGCATCCCATTCTTAAGACGAGCTTTCAGTTCGCGATAGGTCTTCTTGTTATCTCTCACATTGTCGGAAATTTCGAAAAGCATCCGGCCAGATTCTGAATCGTCAATGACAGCCGCGACAAGTATCGTTAGGTTACCTTTCATCGAAGGCGATTGGTAGAAGCAAAATCTCCTGTTTTTTATTAAAAAAAAAAAAATAAGATTGCTGAGAATTCAACATTATTTAATTGAAACATGTGCTTACCGTGCACGCGTGTGTGTAAAAATGCACGCTCATGCACCATATCAATTTGCTTATCTCGAGACCGAAGGAAACAGTCCTCTGCGCACTGATTTTGCATAACCCAAACATTGATTGTGCGAATACTATTTTACATTAATTAACGTACATAAAAGATTGCGCTAATAAAGCTAAGACTAAACCACTTTAGAACGATATGCTAAATCGCTAAATTATTCGATTAAATAATCGAGTAATTAATAATGAATAAAATGGTGAAATTTATGTTACATCAACTGGGATTTTTTCAATCACTTGGAATTTTTCACTTTCAAACAGATTTAATAAACATTCGTAACGTTTACAATACGCGATAATTATTAATTATTCATTAAAAAATCAGACAAAACGTTTGCTCTCGTCAAAACGAAATTTCACGGAAACTTTGCAACCGTTAACGATTAAGTCGGCATTGAACGCGCGTCAAGACCGAGGCGAAGATTTTGCATGTGCGAGGTCATACGTCAATGCAATTTTCCCAGTCAGCTTTATCTTATCTTCCACCGAAAGTGTCTACATGTAATTCAAAAGTTCCGCGACGCATCTCAAATAGCTGTATCACTTGGCAGCCACATAGCTGTATCCTCGGCATGCGCAATTAGAGACATTCTGCACGAGATAGCCGTTCACGTAAATCGTCCGATTACGCGTTGTGTGGGCATGAAATGGGCAAATAGTGTTGTGTGCATAATTACAGGAGGCACTGTTTTCATAGTGATACAAATCTGCATTTCCTATACCAAGATACGGATATTTAAAGTTTAAAGTTAAAGAGATAGATAAGACTTTTAAGATAATAATCTCTGATAAATAAAAGTTTTTATTTTTTTGATATCTATCTTAAAATGTGTTATGCTCATGTAAAAAGAAAAATATAAAAATAATGTTTATTATATTAAATATTTAGTTTGCAGCTACTTTTTTTTAAATAAAAAGGTAATCCAAATTATTTTTTTCTTTAAATTTAATTTATAAGATATATCTATAAGTTAATAAATTTAATTATTAAATATGTGTGCAATAGTATTTATAGTAATTATTACTATTAAGCATATACATATTAATTATTAATATTAAATTTTGTTTATCACCTTACAACATTAACATTTATATGTAATTACATTTAAAAATATTTATTAAGAAATATACGATGACTCTTGCTAAATTTAAAATAAGACGAATGCGACTTATAAATCGGCTCGAAATATCAAGATAACAAATAGACGTATACGTTTAATAATCGATTTGGTGAATAAAAATACACTTGAATTGTTCGATAAAGAAGAATAAAGCCGTTAATTGCCCTCGGAAATAAACAATGATAACAGGCCAGTACGTTTGTATAAGCATGTACGTATAGTATGTTTACTGAGTGTGCCTATCACATGTTTTTTAACACAATGTGTCAATCGTAGGTCGTCCAAATGAGTCTCTGTAGAAGAGGCGATCCTTACATCCGATAAGATTAACTCTGTAGTCTCATTAAATTGCAGTGCAGAAAAATTTTTTCTCTTCAAAACGTTTGCCTCGCGCTGAAGTAGATGCAAGTAGATACGGGACACTTGGTCAGACACGGTTCCGCGCTAACTCCCGACGTGTATTCGATATATTCCTGCGGTGTTTATTTCGGCGACTGAAGCGAAGATAGTGGGACAGAGGTGAAAACTTTTCATTGAAGACTTTCGTGATATCACGTAACGATTGCGATGACGACGATTTCACAGTAGGCAAACAGTAGGAATCGCGGGTACTCCTTTGTCAGGCGACACGGTGCTTCGAGGTGTGCGCGAGATTTTAATGAAGATAGAATCGGGTGTAGGCAGCACAATGGCCTCAGACTCACTGGCTAAATTGTGCGATTTCTCCAGGACGTCTTTGAAATCCGCGTATCTCATTCGTTCAAAGTCTTCTTGTCCGTCGACATGCATCTATCTCATGTTTTTACTTAAAATAATATAACAGATATTTAAGTAATATTCATAAACATATGAAGAATATATGAAGATACTGTATATAAAAGTATATGATCCACGCATGTCAATTTCAATTATAAGCGGTAATTTTAAACTACTAATACTCACGGACAATAGAGGGAGGGATAAGTAGAATTTGCGAGTAGCAAATACAAGATGTCGGGGAATTATCATTGTAAATTTAATCGCTTAACACAGCGACGTTTTTTATAAGGCGACTATTTAGGATCGTTTTAGAATTTCCGTGACGTAAGTTATCTTTACACAAGTGCTTATCATGTGTTTATATATCTGTTTTATTTCTTATTCTTTGCTTTTTAACACAATGCTTCTTGTACATTTAATGCAAATTTTCAATTTCTGCTCGCAGCTTAAGATAAGTAAATGCACGAGTGCATTCACTTAGAATGGTTGAAATTGTTTCGTATAATTTTATCATGTATATTATTCACATATTCTATCACATTCTATGTGACAACATTCTTTTATCTTATAAATATATTCTTATACATTTTAAGAAAAACGTTTTTATCTTTTTGTCTATAATAATTTTCAATATTCTATACATATATTTCTCTAATATAAATTTATCCTTTAGCTCGGATCCTCATACGGGCAACAGCGCTTTGACATCGAATGCTGATTGGTGAAAAATGGGTGATGGAAATAAATTTTATCCCCACAACCGGGTTTTCACCAATCAGCGCTCTGTGTCAAAGTGCTATTGTCTATATGAGGATTCGAGCTTATTGTATACAGATTTATCTATTATTTCTTAATATTCTTAAATCTATCTAATACTCAATTTTGTTAAATTTTTGATAGAAAATAATTGATTACGATCTCTATTGATTGATATTTTATTATTTTGAAATATTACTCATCTCAGTCTTATATTTCTGCATGCGTATTATTCATTTTTCCAAATAATTATTCTTTTCTCCGATTGATCTTATTACGTATATTTTTTATTATAAATATATATATATATAAACAAATTTGAATAATTTTCATCATTTATCTTACCTACCATTGCACTGTTTACGAATAAACAGTGTCTAAATAAATTATAGCTTTAACTCTGGTTTTTATTACTCATATTAAATCGCATTTTTCCGCAATACCATTGGTGGAATTTATGAAAAAATAATTGTCATTCCTTCGACTAATAGTAGCATTCAAATGTTCGATATTTTTATCAATGTCTTCGTCCATTCAGAACGCGTAATCCGTCATCTGAATTTTATTTCGGTGAAAATTATAAGTCCTTAGGGAATGAAATTTGTAAGCAGGTAAAATTACACGTGACATTATGCAAAATTGCGAAGAGAAAAGTTTTAATGGATTATTTGAGTACACGTACAAGGTTTGTAATTATAAAACTTTTTCAAATATATAAAATTATTATTACGATTTAGCCATTTTATTTATACTTTGGAAATATTGCTAAATAAAAAATTCACTTTAACACTTATAAAAAATAAAATAATTAAGATATTTAATTTCTAAAAATTATTTGTAGATTTGATAAGTAGAACAGAGATTGTGTTACTTCTGTTTAATAACCTCTTACCAATTATAATTTCTTTTTTGAAAAAATATAATATCAAAGATGTATTTTTGATGAAGGTGCTATGCCGTGAGAAAAACGTGAAACCTTTGCCAATACAAATGTATCTGCAAAAGAACTATTTGCGATTTTGTGCTGATTATATAAATTTGAAAGACTGGTTGCCACTATTGAACAGTATAATGAAAGATCGAAGTCTGTCTGAAATTTATGTATATAGTCAATGTCGCAATAAAAAAATAAGAGAGAAAATGGACACAAAAGAGAAACTTATGAAATTATGGTAATTGAAAATATATAGAAAATTTACTTTATTTGTGATAGATGTATTTTAATTTCAATATTAAACGACTTTAGTAATTAAATGGAAATATGTTTAAAAATTTTTTTATTTGTCTAGAAATAATAATAAATATTAAATCATTTTTATATGAATTTTACATAATTTTTAATATGATTTTTACATGATTCTTAATATAAATTTATGAAAAATTATTTGAAATTCCTGATCTGATTTTCAAAAAATCAAGTCTCTTAGATTTTCTAATCTTTTATGTAAATATTAAAAATGCCAATTAAAATTGTGATAAAAAGACAAATAAATTACTTTTTTACAAAGTAATTTTATACACTCAAGAGCAATGTAAATTTTTTACATAAAATATAATTAATACAGAGAATTAAATCATATCTTATATATTCAATAATTTTAACATTTCTCAAAATAATTATTGTTACAAAAAATATTTGAATATTTAGAAATTAAATACTGTGATATTATTTGTTTTTTTTTCGGACACTACTCGCAGTAAGTTTAAGCTTACAGGTGACGCCGCGACAAAGAGATAATCAAAGGGAGAATTAAAAAAATATGAAAATGGCAAAAAAAACGATGATATATAAACTCGCAAATTGTAAAATGGCAAATGGATAGGCATTTTACTCGCACATTCAGGAGATGCGCACGAAAGGATCGACGGCAGCCAGTATTGTACACGAATTGTCTTCTACAATGCTTCGTTCATTCCATCGCAGACTGTCTGAAGAATTCGTTGATGATTACCAGTCTCATACTTGATGGTATCCCGCTGGCACCCAAGTATCTACGTATCCTTGCTGATGGCTTGGTAAATAATCGTAATCTACGAAACTTGTCATTGGCCAGATGTCGAATAGGTGATATGGGTTCGTTAAAATTTATAAAATATTTGAATTTTTCGAACAACCAATATAGATCTGACATATCTACGTATTTCAAGTATAACTTTATAAATTTCTTTATAAATTTATAAATCTTTATAAATTTTAACTAGTGTAAAAAAAATGAAGATAATAATATATTTGCATTTATGTCTTTTTTATAGGATGTTATATGCTGTTGGAAAGTTTGCAATGTAATTTGAATCTTCACGTTCTGAATCTATCGTCATGCTGCCTTACTAATAGAAGCGCTACGTGTCTATCATTTTTCTTCAAAAAGAGAAAAGCAGATTTGTTGCAAAATGTTTGGAAGGAGTCAACATTACTTCATGATGCTCGCACAACGAAGGTATGCATCAAGAAAAAAATTATTTTAATTAAAACATCACGTTTTTAATTTTAATTATTTAACACATTTGCATTCACATTTCAGGAAGAAGGATTGCAAGTATTGATACTTGATAAAAATTACCGATTTAACGATATTGGTTTGAAGCAGTTGATACGTATATTGAAAAATGACTTTTGGCTCAAAACATTATGTCTACGATGTTGCGGAATTACTCAACGCGGAGGAGAAATTGTGTTGGAACTTTTACAAACAAATAGCGTACTTACGCAGATTGATCTCAGGGATAATGAAGTGTCGGCCAACATATTGCAAATTATTCGTAAGTTTCTAAAGAAAAGGAAAAACAAAGGGGAAAGAATACCAATGAAGAAAAGGTTACTGAACCACAACCACTCTCTTGTACAAGATATAGTTCCTAAGAACAGATCTTGTCAGCATGCATCGAAAGAGAACAGATTTCTCAAAACTCAAACTGTAAATTATTTAAATTTAATATCGATTAAAATTACGCAAATAATTGCTAATAAAAGTGTTATACACTCGATTTATACAATATACTTTTCTGTTTTAGCACGCTCAAATAAAAATGAAGAAAGATAGCATTTTACAAATGCAAAAGACCAGACATGTATGCAAGTTAAAAAGAAGTGATAAAAAATATACACTGCACACTGCAGTAAATAAAAATCATATCAAGTGCTATAAAGCAGACGAATTAAAAAATCGCTTATCTCTCATGATTGAACACAATCAGAACTTAATAAGGGACTTAGAAACGAGTACTAATTTTCTGTTGGAGGAAAGAGATCGCCGTTTGAGTGCCGAAGAAGTATATCATAAAATACAACCCCGACTGAGAGATCTCAAGAATAAAATTGCTATGCAAAATTCTATCCAGTCGAATATGCGTTACGAAAATCAAGTTTACGCAAATCTACAAAACGTATTTAATGACTTGAAAATATCTACAAACGGGAAAATATTAAGAGTGGATGAAAGTCTTAGCGAAAAAGCTAATGAAAACAAAATTAAATCTAACGTTTGTTACAATAAAAATCAACCGTTTAAAGATGATAAGATTGTTCAATTTTTTCACAGAAGACACAATTGTCCAACATAAAAATCATGGCATTGATAATTTTGAAAATTTATATCTCGTGTAATTGTGTTATGTTGTATACAATTTAATGAAAATTTATAAGTAAAAATTTTTTACGAATAAATAAATCAATTACCTTAATTATATTTCTTATCTATACACTTATCTATACACTTTTCTAGCATTATTTATATTTTCTCTTATAATTTATATATAATAATTATATATAATAATATATTATATATTATTTATATATAATAATTATAATTATAGTGTATAATTTTACATTTATATAACAATTTATTACACACTAAAATTCTAATATATTTTTGGATCAATCAACTTTGCGGCAATATCATTATCTTTCTTAGTTTTATATTTAAAAGTATATTTATTACATAAAAATCTTGTTCTCTCTGAAGTAGGTACAAATAAGGGCATCTATATCAATGAACGAAAAGCTTCATTAATCGGATCAATAGTACTGAGCAGTAGATACATTATCTTCACAATGTTTCCTACGATTAATTTAAATGTATTTATAGTCGGCAATGTATCGTTGAACTGTTATTACCATCAAAGAAAATCGATTTCTGTGCATGGTTCTAGAATACTATAGTTACAGAAGAAGATACAATATCGACACTTGATACTCAGAGTTTTTGATATTGATTCTAGAGAAATAGTACCTAAAATTTATGTTCTCCGGGAAGAAATAGAAACTAGCAGAAAAGACTTATCAAATATTACATATTCTACAATACCTTATGCAGTATTTGTTATAAATAAAAATATATTTGCTTTGTATATACAAATAAAGAAACAGACGGAAATCTACTACATAAAACAAAAAATTTTTTTTATTTCTTAAAGTTCATAAATTAATTAAAAGATTTCTATTTCTTCTATTTTAATTCTTCTAGCGGAAACTAATAAAACTGTTTAGTGTATTAGTTACATTTAATTTATTAATTATTTGCATATTTTGCAAAAAATGAATTGAAATATATCATTTTTTTTATTACATAATGAGAACATTACTAACTATTTCAAACTATTATATAAAGCAAACAGTGCCTTAATGCTATATTTCTTCTTCTCATTTTATTCCTCTTTTCTTCTGAAATCTGATTTTTTTTTTATAATTCTTTTGCAATACAGTATACTAATTAAATATACTAATTAAATATATAATATTAAACTATATATATGATTCGGACAACAGATAATTTTAAAGCTTAT